ATAGACAAACATGGTAATTGACTGTACCTTTGCTACGCCTCCCATTGGCTAATCAGTGTGATATGCAAATGAACCACCAACTAAGATGGTGGCTAATTTGCATACTGCAGGCAGGGAGGGCCAGCGCCAGCCACCATACGGGCCCCCATGTGCCGCCTAAGCCCCGCCGCCAGCTGGAACCCCCGTGTGCGGCCCTGGGCGGTGGGACCCTGCATCTGTGATCATGATTGTGATCAGAAAGCTGGGCCGCAGGCAAGGCAGCACCCCGGGACCCAGGAGCCGCCCTGCCTGAGGCCTGTGATCATGATCTTGATTGGGAAGCCAGGCCTCAGGCAAGGCGGCCCCCTGGAACCCAGGAGCCCGTCGGTGAGGTCTGCAGGCGAAGCAGTGATCAAGCTATGAGGGAGAGGGTGGGGGTGTGGAAGGAGCTACAGGAGCAGCTCTGGCCAGAGCCTGAAGACTCCCGCCAGAGTGAGGAGCAAAGACTGAAGGCTCCAGCTGCAGTGAAGACTGTGTCCAGAGTGAAGATGGAAGGCGGTGGCCGGAGTTACAGGTCTGGGTCCCGGGTGCCAGAGGAAAACTAGTGCTGGCAGCCAGGGGAAAGAAGGCCTATTGCACAAATCTTCATGCAACAGGCCTCTAGTTGTATTATAATTACCTGTTCATGGTTTGCCTCTGTTGGTAAACTGCAAGTCCTTAAAGGCATTAGTTATTTCTTATTTGCCATTATGTTCCCAGTACCTATTGGAGGGCTTGGCACATAAAGGGTACTCAATAAACTGTAGCTAAAAAGAATACCTTAGCTATATTATTGAGAGCTTATGATATGCCTAAACTATTCTGAGTACTTTGCATGGGGGTCACTGATTTAATCCAGAATGACACTCTTACATTAGTACTATTTTTTTAGTATATATTTTTTATTGATTTCAGAGAGGAAGACAGAGAGATATATAGAAACAGCAGTGATGAGAGAGAATCATTTATTGGCTGCCTCCTGCACATCCTCTACTGGAGGGGATTGAACCCACAACTTGGGCATGTGCCCTTGGCCAGAATCAAACCTGGGACCATTTAGTCCGAAGGCTGACGCTCTATCCACTGAGCCAAACCGGCTAGGGCAGGTTAGTACTATTACTAGATCCAATTTACAGACGAGGAAACCAGGGCTCATTGAGATTAACTAATTTTCCTTAGGTTATGCAGCTAGTTCAGTGGAGGACTTCTGATTCTATCTAAGTAACTCAAAACCTGTGCTCCTTACATCATACCATTTTGCCCTACCTTACAGTGATATTGGGAGAAGTGGGTGAGGAAGTGAATATGGAAGTGCCTCTGCATAGTGTCGGGCACATGTTAGGACATGTTATGGTATCAATGGCATAAAGAACTAAAACAGAAAAGCAAAATCTCTAGCTATTTAAATAATGGAAATACAGTAGAGGGAATTGCTATATTAGTCAGCTTGGGCTGCAATGACAAAACACTATAATAGTCTAGTCGGCAAACTGCGGTTCGCGAGCCACATGCGGCTCTTGGTCCCCTTGAGTGTGGCTCTTCCTAAGCCTTAGGAGTACCCTAATTAAGTTAATAACAATGTACCTACCTATATAGTTTAAGTTTAAAAAATGTGGCTCTCAAAAGAAATTTCAATCATTGTACTGTTGATATTTGGCTCTGTTGACTAATGAGTTTTCCCACCACTACTAGTGGGCTTAAGCAGCAGACATTGATTTCCTCACCATTCTGGAGGCCGGAAGTCCGTCAGCGTGCTGCAGACCCGTTCTTGCTGAGAGCCCTCTTCCTAGCCTATGGATGAATCACCCTCTTGTACTTTGCATGGGGGTCACTCATTTAATCCATAATGACACTCTTAGGTTAGTACTATTTTTTAAGTATATATATTTTTATTGATTTCAGAGAGGAAGGGGGACAGAGATAGATAGAAACATCAGTGATGAGAGAGAATTGTTGATAGTTCTCACATGGCAGAGAGAGAAAAAATGAGCTCTCTGGTGTCTTATAAAAAACACTGATCCCATTGGATCAGGGTTTCATCTTTAAGATATCATTTAACCTTAATTACTTCCTGACGCCAAATACAGCTACCCTGAGGCTTAGGGCCCAAACCTGAATTTGGGGAGGGAGAGGACAACATTCAGTCCGTAGCAACTGTTTATACAGATGATAGAAGAAGAAGCCAAACAGGAGAGCAAGGTAAACCAGAAATTAGCAACCATAGAAAGTTGCTACCACCCTTAGACTGGAAAGACCGAGATAACGGAACCTATGGCAGGGACCACAGAGGGAAGGGTGTCTAGGAGGGGACTCAAGGGCTACTGCCAGAACAGAGAAAGGGAGAAGTGCCCAGGTTCATTCCCTCCTGCCCACTCCAGACTTTTGCCAGTACCTCCCACTGGCTGAAATCACCTAGAGACCAGGAAACAAGGGCGCCTGGGTAATGTAGTTCCTCTGATTCAAAGCTAAGCTGAAAGTGGCAAGGACTGCACTGAGCAGACTGGGAAGACTGTCTTAGCAATGGGAGGTTTCGAGAGCAAGCACACAGGTGCTGAACTCTGATTAAGCTGTAGAAAGCATAACAGATTTAATATTCTTAGGAGACATGGTACAAAGTTTCCTGGGTTCTTTCTGTTTTGACAAAAATTCAAAGCATTTTAGGGATAGAACTTTTTAGGGCTGTTGTTTCTAACTGGGAAGACATTTGCCTCTCAGGATAGTTGGCAATGTCTGGAGATACTTTGATTGTCACAACTGGTGTGGAAGGGCAATGTTACTGGCCTTTAGTGGGTAGAGACTAGGTATGCTGCTAAACATCCTACCATGCACAGGAATGTGCCCCTATAACAAAGAATTATATGGTCCAAAATGTCCATAGTGCTGTGCTTACGAAACCCTGCTTTAGAGAATCACATCTGAATAACATGGCCTCTTGCCCCAGGGTAGGAGGTGCCTGTTATCATGGAGTCAGAAGTCGTTTTAGGCCGGGCTCTGAACTTGATGACTGTGTGATTTTTGCAAGTCACTTAAGTCTCATCAACTCCAAAGGAGAACTTTTATCTAGAAGATATTTATCTGCTTATGATATTTTATTGAAGTCTTAATTTTGATCTTTGGTACTGAAGGTAATTATAAGGGAAGGATATTAAAATCAGATTTAAGAGTAAGCTCATCTTTTACCTTCATGCTTCCCAGAACAAACCACAATATTAAAAACATATTACATTTTATTAAATTACTTGAGAACACAGCAAGAAAAAAATAAAAAGAAACTGTGGTCAAATTGATAACTCAATGTAGGTAGAAATGTTTCTTCTAATTAAGAAAAATGTAGAAATTATCTCCATTATGTTTAAGATTATACAATTGCACTCATTTATATATAAAATATATATTATGTTTTGACAAATGCTTCTCAAATCTGTCCATTTTTCTGCTTCCCTGTGGCTACCATCCTACCTGATCTCTCACAATCCCTCCTGAGGTAGAAATAACTAATGGTCTATTCAATATTCTTTCTTTCTTTGTCTCTGTTACTGATATATTGCAGATATTTATGGGCATATAATGAGCCCAAGTAAAACGTTTTATTTACCACCACCTACTGTAGTGAAACTCCTCTTTAACACAGCTAGCAAACACACACAGTGTACACTAATTAGTGAGTCTTCTACAGCAGCAGGCTGCTTTCATTTTTAGTTAATCTTTCAAAAACATAAGAGCATCTTTTAAGAGACTAAATTTATTGGACCCCACATAGAGCATTAGAGTAGAATTTTATCATATTTTATCAAAGAGACCCTCTCTGATGCCTGTCTTCTAAATTGAACATGAGTCACAATTGAAAAAAATGTGCACAATTGAAAAAAAAAAGTAACTTCTGTAGCCCAGACTGGAAAACACACTGAGATGGCGGTGTTGGATGACAATACAAACCATTCCTAAGCACCTTCCTTGGAGAGTTAGTTCTGTACGAGACAAACACCATGAGCCACTGGCAAAGGTGGGATATTGTCCCAAATTGCCCCAAGGTCTGCTTTTGAACTCTGTTTTGTTCTATCCTTGGGCCAATACCCTGCTGTTGAACATTATAAGGCTTATAGAAGAAGCTCTCTCACTTTGTTGTTGAGTGATGTGGTTATTCTTTGCCCTCATGTTTCTATAGAAATTTTAGAAGCTTGTCAGTTTGTGCGCGCGCATACACACACACACACACACACACACACACACACACACACACACACTCCTGCTAGAATTTTTATTTTGAATCTGTAGTTTACATCTTTACAACATTGAGTCTCCCTATCCATGGTATACCTATCCAATTATTTAGATTTCTTTGTTTTTAATAATGTTTTAGCATTTTTCTGTTAGAAATCTTTTAATTGTCTAAATTAATAAGTAAGTTTAGCAAAGTTGCTGGATTCAATGTCACCACATGCAAAATTGTTTTATATCAACTATAAATAGTACAAATTGGAATTTTTAAAAAATCATTTACAAAGAATCGTGAAATGTTAAGTACCTAAAAATAAATATAATGAATAATTGCAAGTCTTTTAATACAAAATTTATAAAACATCCTTAGGATAAATAAATGAATATAGAAATATAATTTTTGGCCCAGCCAGCATGGCTCAGTGGTTGAGTGTTGACCTATGAACCAGGAGGTCATGTTTCAGTTCCCAGTCAAGGCACATGCCCAGGTTGCAGGCTCAATCCCCAGTGTGGGGCATGCAGAAGGTGACCGATCTATGATTCTCTCTCATCATTGATGTTTCTATCTTTCCTCCCTTCCTCTCTTAAATAAATAAAAACATGTTAAAAGAAAAGAAACACATTTTTTGTGTTGATTTTGAATCTGGTAACTTTGCTAAACTTACTAATTAATTTTAATAATTTATCTTAGATTATATTGCGTATTTTCTACATATGTCACTGTGTGCTTGGCTAATAATACAGCTTTATTTCTTCCTTTCCAATAATTACACATTTTTATTTCTTTTTTTTCTTGATTTATTTCATTGACTAAGACCTTTAGTGCAATGTTGAATAGAAATGGTATCTTCCATGGGTGTGTAAAGTAGATACATAGGTTGTTTTTTGTTTTTCAAATTCTAGAATTAGTGATGCTAGTTTCATCAGTAACAAAAATATACCAAAATCTAGCATAAGACTAGGGATATATGTAAAGAAAAATCCGTTTTAAGCAACATTATTGATCAGGCAATTTACAAGTATGGAAGAACAAAGAGATTTGGAGGAAGAGCTTGGATGGAATGAAATAGGAGCTACCATCATTGGAGCAGTGACAGGGGCCAGCTCCCAAAACGTATATTATTCCCCAAGGAAAATGGTAATGGGTATTGGAATGGAGAGAAACAGATGGTCCTAAACACATTCATATTTTATATTAGCAAAACCCAAATTTCTCATTATGTGAGCACTCAGCCATTTGGAAAGCAGTTTGAATAGGAACATGACTTTTGCAATAAAAAATATCTGAGTTTAAATTCCAGCTCCATCGTTGTGTAACCACAGCCAAGTTGCTTAATCCCTTTGAAGCTCAGTTATTCACCTGTAAATTGAGGATAATGATTCATAGTTACTGGGATAATTATAAGGATGAGTGAGATAAAACATGTATGTTATTGGTTATATAAAAATGTACAATAAATTAGTTTTCTGCCCATTTTTGGCTTGAATTCTTCTTTATCTTGTGTTGCTGTGTAATACTTTTGACATACTAAGCTATACACTTTCATCTTGGTCTTTCTTTCCTGTCTCACCACCACCCTTAAACTTCCACAGTGATCAAGCACATAGTAGGGACCCTCTAGGACAGCGGTTCTCAACCTGTGGGTCACGACCCCTTTGGGGGTCGCCTAAGACCATCGGAAAACACATATATAATTATATATTATTTTTGTAATTAATCACTATGCTTTAATTATGTTCAATTTGTAACAATGAAAATACATCCTGCATATCAGATATTTACATTACGATTCATAACAGTAGCAAAATTACAGTTATGAAGTAGCAATGAAAATAATTTTATGGTTGGGGGTCACCACAACATGAGGAACTGTATTAAAGGGTCGCGGCATTAGGAAGGTTGAGAACCACTGCTCTAGGAGGAAGGGATAGAGAGGAAAGCAGAAATAATCAGCAGTGCTTCTAGCTTTTGCATTTGAGAACTTAACATTTTGAGGGAGTTGTCTTAAACTTGTGGGATTTGGCCTGCATTTGCTTTCAGAGGTGTTCTGTATTGCTTCGCAGTGTATAAATAGTTCCTAGCACTTAAAATTGGGATACTTCATATAAAGCTCTGGAAGATCAGGCACAGCTGGATCTGCATTTTCATGGAGAGGAATTGGCTAGAGCTCTACAATGCCTGCCCCTTGAATGGGCTGCTTGAGCTCCAGTTTGACATGGCCACCATGGGCCTCTCATTCATCTATGTCACCTGTGCAGCTGTGGTACACATTCAAGTTTGTGTGTTCTGTTCAGAGATATTTGATAAATTTGGGGAATAGCCAAATATTTGGGAGAAGCAAGGCAGAGAGTTTGGGGCATTGCTGGTCCCTCACCAACTTAGAATATGTATCTTCCAGACCCAAACTGTGGGCAGGAGAGAATGAGAGGACAAAATGTGGGAGTTTCTCTCTCTCTTTTTCTTTCTTTCTTTCTTTCTTTCTTTCTTTCTTTCTTTCTTTCTTTCTTTCTTTCTTCCCTTCCCTTTCCTTCCTTCCTTCCTTCCTTCCTTCCTTCCTTCCTTCCTTCCTTCCTTCCTTCCTTCCTTCCTTCCTTCCTTCCTTCCTTCCTTCCTTCCTCCCTTCCTCCCTTTCTCTCTCTCTCTCTCTCTCTCTCTCTCTCTCTCTCTCTCTCTCTCTCTCTCTTTCTTCCTCTCTGTGTGTGAAGTAAGACTTCTTGACTAAGCACCTGGAAGGCAGCAAGCCCTCAGAGAAGGAATGACAGCTATGTCTAGAGCGGGCACGGAAGTGTTCCAAACAGCAACATGCCCCAGCTGTGGCACCAACGTAAGAGGAAAAGTCTTGCTCTCCACCTCAAATATGGATTAGTCCCAGAAGTGGCCATGAGACTGAAAGATGTGAGGTCTTTCCTATGGTGCTACCTGTGCAACTGTGGGCCTTATGAACAATAATCAGATTGGCTCCTTCAACTCCCCCACCATATCTCAGCGCTGAGGTTTTCAGAAATGGGCTCAGATTAAGTTTCTATCTCTACACCCTATACAGTCCCCTATTCCCCTCCCCATAATGGGCACTTAAAATAGAGTTTACTTACTCTTTTTTCCTGTTTCTATGAATTGACAGTACTGACTTCTACTCTTTTCTTGTTCTCTTTGTCTCCTGTCACCACAACTTACTTGAAATCTTGTCCTGTAGCTTCCACAATTCTACTCCTTCCTGTTCTTGTTCCTCTTTTCCATCTGTTTCCTGCTCTCTCATCATCCCTCTGACTGCTACAGTCAGGTACTCATCACTCTGGCTGCTCCTTTGATATCTAATTTGTATTCTGTTCCTTTTTCTTCTTCTTCTGGACACTGTTAGAATTTTGGAGTTTCTCTGGGATCTAGTCTTAGTCTAGTCTTTGTCTTTTTATTCTACTTTCTATTCCTGTTGATCCTAACTATTTCCAAATCCCCAGTGAACTCTCAAGTCTTCAAAATCCATATCCCTGGCTGGGGAATTTTAGCTGCTAGATAGAGATGGCATATGTGCTTTTCCTTCTGCCTTGTTTGATATTGGTTATCAGCATTAAAAATTAGTGACTCAGAGCAGGCATCTCAGAGTCACATTGAACATCTCTTTATCTACCACGTTTAATTGGTCACCTTGTTTTGTTGATACTTCTATCTTCTCTCTTCCTTTCATGCTAGTCACAGCCTTAGTTCAGGCCATCATCATTTCTCTTTGGGACTGTTGTAATAATCTCTTGATGAGTTTTTCTATCCTTGTTTGTTCCCTCTTCAAATCCATTTCCCCTGGTACCACAAAAAATATTTCGAAATGCAGATGTTATGTTGTTACATTACTCTCTCCCCAAATTAGAGAATTGACTACAGGATTTTCATAAGAATTTCACTTCTCCCTGCTCATTTCCAGACACCTGTCTATATGTATCCCATGAGTCTTCACTTTCTATTCTTCTGTTATCTCTTCATATCTTTGCCATGCTGCTCCCTGTGCCTGGTCTGACCTTGGTACTCATTTTGCTGGATTCCTTCAACAGCTGTTTCAAATGTCACCTCCTCACTAAAGCTTTTCTGGATCCATCAAGACTGATTTAATTTTCTGCTCACCTGCATTTTCCCATCGCACATTGCGTTTAAATACCATGTATTCTAATATATTTTGGCTAGTATTTTGTTGCCTCCATTTTATTATAAACTTACTGAGTACTCCTGAATCGAATTTGTTTTCCAGACCCTGGCATGACACCTAGAATATTAATTAGAAGCTCAACAAATATACATGTGTTGTTTTTAATATCACCTGGTCCACTTGAAGAAAGGCATTCAATTTTACCTTACAAAGCTCTTTCATTGAATATCAACATATTTATTAATAATCCTATCTAATAAAAGAGAAACATGGTAATTGGCATATGACCGCTACCCTTCCCATTGGCTAATCAGGGCAATATGCAAATTAACTGCCAGCCAAGATGGCGGCCGGCAGCCAGGCAGCTTGAAACTAACATGAGGCTTGCTTGCTTCAGTGACGGAGGACTCCAACATTCCCCACCTGCCGCTGCAAGCCTCTGATCTGCAACTCTAAGCAACTATGTAACAAATATAAAAGCTAAACAAAACCCCAGGAACCTGCCGGGCTTCAGCCAGCAGGATCGCAACATTGTAAGCAAAGGCCAGAAACCTACTTTCAGCAGCGGAGGCCTAAGAGCTGGAGCCAAGCCTCAAAGCTAAAGCTGGCCCAGAATAAAAAAAAAAAAAAAAAGAACAAAAGGAGCGGTTGGGAGCTTCAGTCACCCCCAGCCTGAAAACAGCCCTCAGCCCCTCACCCAGACTGGCCAGGCACCCCAGTGGGGACCCCCACCCTGATCCAGGACACCCTTCAGGGCAAACCAGCTGGCACCCACCCGTGCACCAGGCCTCTACCCTATATAGTAAAAGGGTAATATGCCTCCCGGCACTGGGATCAGCATGACAGGGGGCAGCATCCAAACCCCCTGATTGGCCCTGCTCTGTGCGTGACAGGGGGTGGGGCCACAACCTCCCTATCCACCCTGCTCTGTTCGTGACAGGGGAAGGCGCCCCAACCCCCTGATCGGCCCTGCTCTGTGTGTGACAGGGTGCGGCGCCCCAACCCCCCACTCCCACGGGCCCTGCTCTGTGTGTGACGGGGTAGAGCCATAACCTCCCCATCAGCCCCTGCCCTGAGTGTGAGAGTGGCAGCACCCTAACCCCCTGATCAGCCCTGCTCTGTGGGTGATAGAGGGCAGCGCCCCAACCCCCTGATGGGCCCTGCTCTGTGCATGACAGGGGGCAGCGCCCCAACCCCCTGATTGGCCCTGCTCTGTACGTGACAGGGTACAGAGCCCCAACCCCCCTGATGGGCCCTGCTCTGTGAGTGACAGGGGGCAGTGCCCCAACCCCCTGATTGGCCCTGCTCTGTGCGTGACAGGGGGTGGCGCCACAACCTCCCCATGGACCCTGCCTTGAGTGTGACAGGGGGCGGTGCCCCAACCCCCCAATCGGCCCTACCCTGAGCATGACTGAGGGTGGCATCACAACCTCCAGGTTGCCCTGCTCTGTGCATGACAGGGGGCGGCGCCCCAACTCCCCAATCGTCCCTGCTCTGAGCCCGACCAGGGGCTGCACCTAGGGATTGGGCCTGCCCTCTGCCACCCGGGAGCAGGCCTAAGCCAGCAGGTCTTTATCTCCCGAGGGGTCCCAGACTGAGAGAGGGCACAGGCCGGGCTGAGGAACCCCACTCCCCCCTGAGTGCACCAATTTTTGTGCACCGGGCCTCTAGTTATAATAACAATAGAAAATACATATAGTGCTTATTGTATGTTAGATACTGCTCTGAGGAATTCACATATATCACATTCAATTCTCATAACAGTTCTGTTACTAAAATTATTATCCTCATTTTACAGATAATGAAACTGAGCCTTAGGGAAGTTAAATTGCCCAAAATTAATGGACCCAGGTTTCAAACCCAGCTATAGTACATCTCTTGGAAAAAAAGGATAATTTGTTTTTAAAATATAATTTTAGATTCTTTCCAGAGTCATTGAATTGTTGAGGCTGACACTTGAACATCAAAGTATATTAACAAATGACCATAAATCCAAATGTCGTGGTCTCCTTTCCCCCACCCTTCTACTTTGTGTACACCTGCAGCATCACATTTATCACACTGTATCACAAGGCTGTGTTTCCATGTACTTTTTTTTTTCTGATTGGGAAAAACTTGAGGCAGGAAATATGTGTTTTTAGATTTTATTCTTACCCATGCATAGCATGATACCTGAGAGATGGTTGCCCAATCAATGATTAGTGAATGAAAGAATAAGAAATAGTGCTTACATTTTTAAAGACATTGAAATGGCCACACCCATAAATTAAAGTTGGTAAGTTCTTTTTTTAAAAAAATATATATTTTGTTGATTTATTTTTTATTTTTTTAATTTTTTTACAGAGAGGAAGGGAGAGGGATAGAGAGTTAGAAACATCGATGAGAGAGAAACATCGATCAGCTGCCTCCTGCACACTCCCTACTGGGGATGTGCCTGCAACCAAGGTATGTGCCCTTGACCGGAATCAAACCTGGGACTCTTCAGTCGGTAGGCCGGCGCTCTATCCACTGAGCCAAACCGGTTAGGGCGAAAGTTGGTAAGTTCTAAAACTAGCAACCAAATAAATGAACTCCAAGAGATTAGAATGTCCTGTCACCTTTCATGAGAGGACTTTGTTTAGTTTCCACTTCTTTCGTAATAGAAAGAGACGATGGGTGCTGATTAAGAGCTATGGAATCTGGAATCTGATTTGTCTGGGTTCAAATCATGGATTCACCATCTAGGAGCTGAGTGATCATGGGATTGTAATTTTTTCTTTGCCTTCTCCTTATCAGAGATTCAAAAAAATCTTTGTGAGGCTGTTGTGAGATTAAATAAACCAATCCATGCACAATATTTGGAACATAGAGTTAGTTAGTACTCAATAAGTGTTAGTAGCTATAATATCATTATTATAAGAGTAAGTAGGATTAGCATTAGAATTTAAATACTTCTCTAGTTTTGGTTTTGATTATGAAGCTTCTTTACACTTTGCAAAAGTTTAGGGCTGTCAAGGACTTCATCTTCAAAGCTCTGAGTTTTTTAAACGAATTTTGATACAAACTCTTTCACAAAATGAGAAATCTTTGGCACAGAAGCTGTGCTGTCCAATGCTCATGTTAAGCAATGGAACCAAAGAGACATGGGAGGGATAACGGGCCAGGAACTGAGCCACATTGGATGACAGACAGTAATTGGAAGGGGATTTAATCCGGGAATCAGTATGTTGTTAAAGAGCATGCATCGCGTTGAGTGGAGAGACAGCTCCGCCAGCTCTGCCGGCAAGGTGAGACACAAATAAGTCATGTCTATTTAATATAATCTGAGCATCAGTTGTGGCAAAGCCAAGAGCAGTAACTAACTAGGCGAACATGACATTGCACCTGGCTCACCACAGCTCCAAGAGCAATTTGTGACACTATTTCAAATAATTCCAGTAGAACACGTTGTTCTCTGAAGAAATTGTGATTTTGGAAAACAGGTTAGGGTTCGTGGCAAAATTTGAGATGAAAATGGTTAGGAATGTAAAAAACAAGCAAGAAATCATTGGTTAGTTCATAATCACTGGAAGCCATAATAACTGGCAACTGGACTTATTTTTTAATACCATAACTGAAAAAATTGCTTACTATAGAGACAGGCAAGTCAAGCAAACTAAGCCCACTAAGTACTCTGAAATGAAATGAGTATCAAATGTGTATAATGCACAGTAGGATGTGGTGAGTGCTTGCCGAACTGGGAAAAGTAGAGTCTCATGGTTCTGAAAACTGGAGCCATGGGCTGTAAGTCAGGCTGCGAGCCTGGCTCTGTGTGATGCTGGCTAAAACCCCAGTGCCTTCTTTATCCTCATTAATGATCCCTCAGTGGTTTAAAATTCTGGACTTTAAAAAGTACTTTCTAAAGATCTAAAGACCTAAAAATCCTGAGATAGAAAGTGCAAGTTTCAGATGGAAGAACCAACTTTCTTTCCTGGGAAGCATCCAGCCAAAAAATAAAAAAATAAAAAAATCTAAAAATATCTTGGCAAGGACATATATTTGACAAATATAAAGCAGAAATTCTATTTTTCCTACCACCCAGATTGCTCTCATATATAATTATCCTATATCTTTATGGTTAAACGGTAGCAATGTGCCGTGGTTAAAGAATGAGACACTTGTATTTTTCAGTAAATGGAGGGGAAACAGAAGGAACAATGGTGGGATTTATGAGACCACTAAGAATCCAAAAAAAAAAAAACCCCTCTGTTCATGTAGACTTTTCTGAAATGGCTGAAATAAATTGCAATGTTGGATTACCTACTGTTATGAAACAACGTTGATAAAATAATTAAAATTCCTTACAGAACTTACCCAAACATCCTAGGAAAAGGAAAGACCACATCATGTATGAGAGGAAGTGGCTGCCGGCACCATCATTCCTTTAGTAGATGCCATCACACAGAGCCAGGCTCATCACCAGACTTAGAACCCTCGACTCCAGCTCCCAGAACCAAGCTCAAGGTTACATAATTTTACATACTTTTTGCCAAGTCAGTGTCTCAGTACCTTTTGTTCTGTGCTGTTGAATTCCGTACATTTTCTCAGGCGTGTTCCTTCAGAGCACCTGCATGCCACCTACAATCCCAGGATCACCTTGAAACACACCCAGTGTGTTAAATACTTTCCACTCTTGAGCGTGTGTACAAACCCCATAAATTCAACATCTGACCTTCCACAGGTTCTGTCTTGGTCCTTGATTCAGAGCAGGACTTGGAATAGCTGATCAAGCCCTGCCTTTCTAGAGGCAACAAACAATTCCAACCCGTGGATGTCATCTCCCCAGTGTTCCCTGGCCCAGGTGGGACTCGGCAGTCTTGCATTGAAAGCAGCAAAACCTTGCTTGCCTCCCACTGTCTAGTGTGGAATGAGGATGTTTTCTTTAGACTTGAATTTTTGCCTCAGGTGTGCCTAAGGAGTAAAAGGCCTGGGTGTGTGTGCGCGGGCGGGGGCGGGGGGGGGGGGGGGGGGGGGGGGTGGTGGTGGTGGTGGTTATAAAGCCTGGGCCATTTAGCTGACATTGTCTAGCACACACACCTTTCCTGAAATTTGAACTGTACCTCCTCAACCCAGCCCAGGTCCTCCCACCTCCGTGCTTTGCTGAGGCCTGCGTGGCCCAAAGATTTGTGTGGAGCTGCCCGGGTGCACAGTCCTGCCTCTATGCCAGAAGCCGGTCCATCCTTGCTGCTTGACACAGTCGCTTAAGGAAAGAAACATCTGCACAGCCTATGTTTCAAGGCACCTGGCGTATATAGCATACTGTTCTTAATATGTTTGCTCCCCTTAGCGCTGTGTGTTTTAACCAAGGTCACCTCTCCGAGAAAGGTTGTTTCTCCAGGTAGGAATTTTTCCCTGAAGTTAGGGAGTGGATGAAACTCCTTAACTAAGTGCCAGGCGGGTAGTTAATCACTTTAACTACAAACAATCATGCTTAAGCTACATAATCTTTACTCCCTGGAATGGAGATAAGAAACGCCCTAACCTTTGTAATAGAAATTAAAAGGATTAAAATCAACTGGTATAAATACGGATGTAACAAGACAATAAACAGCAGAACCTCTCTGGAGATCCAGACCAGAACTTGGCTGGAGATCCTGTCTGGAGATCCTGGCTAGGCTGCTGATCAACTGAACACTGTCTCTGTGTCCTTCCTTCTTTGCCGACTCCGTCTACGCCTTTGGGAACCCCTGGACCTGCTGGGGTTGGACCCCGGCACCTCTACAACACAGCCTCTGGCCTGTGGACAAAATGGCCATAAAGAAACAATCAGCTGCCAAGGTCAAGCTGCAACAGGTAAAGCTGGCCACACAAAGGAAAACCCTTAGGCATGGTATACATAAGACTTTCCAAACCACCAAGGGCATTCATTTTTTGTGGTTTTTTAAAAATATATTTTATTGATTTTCCACAGAGAGGAGAGGAGAGGGATAGAGAGCTAGAAACATCAGTGAGAGAGAAACATCGATCAGCTGCCTCCTGCACACCCCCCACTGGGGATGTGCCCGCAACCAAGGCACATGCCCTTGACTGGAATCGAACCCAGGACCCTCCAGACCACAGGCCGACGGAACATTCATTGAACCAAACCAGTCAGGGCACCAAGGGCATTCTTTACCCATACATTCAAGTCCATGGTCTATCAACGCAAGTCCTTGGAGAAATCCTCTTGATATGGTCCACAAATTCTATTTCCAATTTTATTTTCCAGTGTTCAAATCACAAACACCACATGTTGGGTTGAAATACTCCCCAAACTATAAAATCCTGCCATGGAGTGAGTTATCCAAGAGACATGCTGGCTTCCAAAGGAAATTAAGCCAAGTAGGCCCAGTTTATTTATCCCTAATTACCATCAGATGAATCACTCCGACTTCCTTGGGTAGGGGAGGGCTGTAGGACTGGGTGGTGTTGGGAAAATAGGTGGGGAGAATATGCTGAGAGACTTAAAAAGTTAAATTAACAAAGCTTCCTGAATATAGAAGACATATCAGATATAGGAATGAAACATCCCTAACAATGCATATTTTAGAGAATACTTTCAAATTGTGTATTTTTAACGTCTACTTGAAGTATGATATGTATTCAGAAAAATGACCTACCCGGTTGAAATTTCTAAAATGTGTGCACAAATTCTTTACTACTTCCTCCTCCAAAGGTAAAGCCCAATTCTGCTCCCCTTCAAGGTGGGTCCAAATTAGTGACTCATTTCTATTGGCTAGAAAGTGATGAAAGGGACAGTGTGACTTCTGAAATGAGGTCAAAAAAGCATGATGGCTCCCTCCTTGCCCTCAAAGCACTTGCTCTGGAGGAAGCCGGATACCAGGGTGGGAGGACACTGAACCAGCCCTATGGAGAGATCTCTGGTGAGAAGTGAGGCCTCTGCCAACAGCCTCCGAGTAAATCAGCCTGGGAGCCTTCAGAGACTTGCCTGCAGCCTCCCGAGACCCTGAGCCAGAACGACCCAGCTAAGCCTCTCCTCCTAGCCCAACGAAATTGCAACTATAAGAACTACTTATTGTTGCTTTCAGCCTCTAAGTTTTGAGTAACTTATTATGCAAAAAACACTAGCTAATACAAAAGTGTACAGATCAAAGACCTTTCAAAAACTGAACACCTTAGTACTGAGATCAAGAAGTAGAACATTTCTCCACTCTCTCCATTACTATTTCCAGTCACTGCCCTCTTCCCTGAAAATTATAATTCTGACTTCTAACAGCACATATTTCCCCCCATTTTTCTAGACTTCATATGAATGAATTATATGAGTATTTACTACTTTTTATCTGGTTTATTTCACTAAACATTATGTTTATGACATTTAGCCACATTTTTTAGTATAGTTGTAGATGATTAATTTTAATTGTATAGTTTTTCTTGAATACACATGTAAAGTTTTATTTATCAAAAATATATATTGCCCTGGCCAGTTTTGCTCAAAGGGTAGAGCATTGGTCTTCCGACTGAAAGGTCTTGGGTTTGATTCCAGTCAAGGGCACATGCCTTAGATGTGGGCTTGATCCCTGGCCCTGGTCCGGGCTCATGTGGGAGGCAACCAACAGATGTGTCTCTCTCAAATTAATGTTTCTCTCTGTCTCTACTCCCCTCTCTTCCACTATTTATAAAAAAATGAATGGAAAAATATCCTCAGGTGAGGATATTTTTTAAAAGTACATGTTACTTACAAATTTTATTTAATGATTTTTTACAGCTACATTTTATTTTTTAATTTTGTAAGAATTTATTTACTTTATTGAAGTATAATTGATTTACAGTATTATATTCTTTATATTAGTTTCAGGTGTACAATAATATAGTGATTTGACACTTTTATATTTTACAATGTAATCAACCACCCCACTAATTCTAGTAATTATCTGTCACCATGTAAACTTATCACAATGTTATTGACTATATTCCCCTTCAACTTTTTCACCATCCTCCATCTTCCTTCAGCTATATTTTAAAATCAAGTTTTTTTGTGTGTGTGTTTTCTAATCCTCACCCTAGGATATGTTTTTATTGATTCTAGAGAGAGAGGAGGGGGAGAGAGAAACACTGATGCCAGAGAGAAACATCTATCTATCAAATATTGATCAAATAGTTGCTTCCCATATGGCCCTGACTAGGGATCAAACCTACAACCTGGGTATGTGTTCCAACTGGGAATCAAACCCATGACCCTTCGATGCACAGAATGATGTTCCAACCAACTGAGCCACACCAGCCAGGGCTAAAATCAAGTTTTAACATTTGTCAGTATATCAGCATATAACCACCACTTTCTTTTCTATCTGGCAAGGGAAATGTTTCCTGTTGGTTTTGAGTTTAGATACACCTGACATTGACATTTAATATGGTCAGCTACTTTTTGTGTGTGCCTGTGATCAAGTTAATTAAAGACACACACATACAAATGTTTATTAATCTATACATAAACATATATTTACACAAATATATGTATTTAACTTACAAAGAAGATAATGAGAAAAATGATGTAATTATCTCCACAGACACTAAAAATGCCTTGAGTAATATTAAATACCCATTCCTGAAAAAACAACAACCAGAAAATAAGTAATGAAATAGAAATATTTGGATATTCTCTTAGTACATATTTTAGCCCCCAATTCTATATGTTACTTAATGTAGAAACTCAAGAAAATCAATGTTAAATGATATAATCAACAACAGAATTTGCAAGGAAAGAAGATAAAATGTTAGCATACAGAAACTAGTGGTCTTCATCCTAACAAACAAATGTGGTTAAAAGAGACAATGGAAGACCACAATTACAATAGAAATAAAAGAAGATAAAATACTTAGAAATAAACTTCATGTGAAAAATTCAAAATCTATATGAGGGAAACTTGAAAAGTTTCGAAAGACACAAAACAGGACTTGAACAAATGGAAAGACTCCTTTTGTTTTGGAGAGGAATTCTCAGTATTTAAATATGTAAGTTATCTCATAATATTTACATTTAGAGTAAGCTGAATAAAAATATCAAAAATATTTCTTCTGGAACTAGACAAATTAAATTTAAAATTCATATGCAAGAATTGATATGCAGCAATAACTAGGAAAATAAAGAGTAATGACAGGGGCTAGCTCTATCAAATATTGACGTGCACTCTAAAGCCTCTGTGATTAAAACTGTGGTGTTAGGGTATAAATAATAGCAATTCCATAAATAGATTCAAGTACCTTTGGCAATTTAGTTTATGGCATAGGTGGCACCTCAAATCATTATGGGGAAATGAGTTTTAATAAATAACATTGGAACAGTTGAACAGAATTTGTTAGAAGATAAAATTATATTCACACTTCACACTATACCGTAATAAACTCTTAGTGAGTAAGAAAAAAACACACACAAATGGCAAAAGAAAACATTAAGTTCTTTAATAATCTAGAAGTGGAGAAACTCTTTTAAACTATTTCATACAATACAGAAGCAATAAAAATTAATAAATTTAATTCCATGAAATAAATAATTTTTGCATGAAATATAATGTTGTCTGTATAGGAAGTAGTATAAATAAAAAAAT